TAATTTTTTTTTTCAACAACGAATTTCTGGATGATGCAGTGGAAGAAACAGCCACCAGGAGAATGTGTGCTGGTTCACCAAACCAGTACAATACACACCAGTCTGACTGTGCAGGGGGGGATTTAATGGTCTTTGGGCCCTCGATGCTGCCCAGCAATGTGCTTATTTGAGGGAACAGATCAGCCAGTTCAATCTAGAGCAGCATCTCGTCTTTCTCCCAGTCAAGACACCCAAGAGCATTTATTGTTCTGGCTACTGTTTACAAATTAAAACTCTAAAATTTATATTAGCTAACACCTCTAAAGGTTATTTCTGCCCATCCCATAATATAAGAGAGAAGAGATCAAAGTACATTTCTCTGAATAAAAAAATTCTGCTCCCCACAACTGAGCAATAGCTAACTTTCAAATTACTAGTGTCCTGACTTAAAGTCAAACCAGCAATTAGAGGTGGAAGGCTCCACATCCCGTTATCCATGCCTCAATCCTTCCCTACCAAACTTGGCTTTCAAAAGGCACCCCCCAAAGCAAGATTACAGCACCACAGAGGGACAGGCTATGAAGTTCTCCCACAGTATTCCTACAGAACCATAAAAGTACAGTATTTCAGTCAGCAAAATAATCAGAGGCATACTGGAATCCAGTTCAACCACAATACCTGCCAGCACAGCTATCAATGCATTAATCAGCTACATGAAAATTAAGCTTGAATCCTGTAGGACAGCCAAGTTCTGTTAACATATACCCACCAGTTCCTTCATCTTAAATCTAAAACTCACTACTGGAGGAATACTCCTGCAAAATCCCACATGGAAGTGTTGGTGATATGGATGTGCTCACATGCAGACATCCTTTTTTCAGAACTTATTTACTCTTAGTACAGGTAAAGAGGCAAACAATTAAACTTTGACCCCTTGCCAAAACCATTTTGAGGTCCAAAAAGTAAGGGAATATATTTGCAATAAAAGCACAGCAAGAGTATTGTTTCCAGGGTCTCCTTCAAAGCAACATTTGAACAGCTGCCCCAGCACCCTGCTCCTCACACTCTGGTTTTGAAAAGACACCAAAACCCCCAAAAATATTCTGTATGGCAGCACAGGCTAACCTAAATTAGCTTATCAAATGTTCTGCTGCCCCTCTCATCCCATAAGAAGTAGAGCAGCAAACAAGCTAATAGCTGGATTGCTGCCATGCCAATATTCCAAGTGCAGGCAACCCTAAACCACTTCCCAGGCTTTTTTGTTTTCACAGAAAAGCAGGCAAGTATCACATTTATTGCACTGCAACAGGAGAATCTGATTATATTTGAGCAGCATATCACTTCACCTGGACTAACTAAAATATTCAGTTACACAACAGCTAATCATGAACAGAAGATAAGCTCAGAGATAAAAATAGGGAGAAAGACAGAGAGACCTTGTAACAGTTAATCAGCATGATTCGTTTGTCAGCCTGCCATACAAAGCACCACTTGAAAAAGCCTTGAACTTCCCTCCAATAAATCTTTTTAAGCAATAAAACCTCTTGGGTTGATTTTGCTTCAGTCTTATTTCTAAGTCGTTCATCAAACTTCTGTTAATCCCCAAACACACAGAGGAATCACAGTCCAAACTGGGAAGAGGTACAACATACCCTGAGTGTCACCCAGACAAGATTAGCCCAGCAGCAACCCCTCACAGCATGTCAATCTTGCTCGACTTCCACAAAAAAAAAAGTGCTGAGCAGATTCCTGCAGGACAGCTTCATCCAAAGGTTTCTGAGTCTGGCCCTCCATCCCCAGCACACTGGCTGGTGCCAAGGTTCTTAACACACTTAACATGAGCCGGATCACTGGGATTTCAAATCCTCATTGGGATCACCGTGCTACGCAAGAAACCACAATGGGGACAGCGGCAGCTGGAATGGGAGAGACAGCCTGGGACAGGAACACGATGGTGAAGGCAGGGAGCTGCCAAATCTGAGATACAGGAGGCAGTGGTGATTTTGGAGGAAGATGGGCACCATTTGTAGCCACTACCTTGGTATAGAGTGTTTCATGAGGAGAAGACTGCCTTTTCCTGTCTTTCCCATAAGGCCTCAGACACTTCCCAACAGCCCTCACAACACGAAAGTAAAAACAAGACCACTCTGGACAATGTGAGAGACTTCAGCATTTGTTGCTGAACAATGGTGTCTATTCAAGTCTCAGATTCATTCTGGCTGTTAATTAGGAAAGTAAACAACAAAAAATTATAATTTAAGCCTTCACTCGATATTTGGCTTTCTAATCTCCTCTAGAGAACACTGTCAAACTCCTCTCCTGTCCAAAGCAGGAATTTACACTTCCATGCCAAACCAGCTCCCCAAACCTTAATTGGAAGCGGTATTAAGTTCAATGCAGGCTGAGGGAGAGTAAGATTCAGGAGCAGCAGAATTTCACATAGCCACTTTTTCACCTGTTAACTTCATTTACCCATTTAAGATGATGTATAATTTATAAGTGCTGAGCAGCTCTGCTGTCAGACACATGTCCTCTGATCTCACCCATGATTTACAGCAGCAACAAGTTGGCTCTACAGCAGGTCAACAGCACCCACAGAACTACATTTGAGTCCAGATATTATCCCTTTGGGCTTCACCACCAGCCTGGCTGTCCAATTTTGGATGTGCTAATTACAGTCATTTAGTCATACTGTGACTCAAATTTTATCAAGTTGTTTTCTCCTAGGTGTGAGCTGAACATCCTGCTGGATGGGCGATTGCTGCGGGTTGGTTGTGCTGGGTCTAGCCAAATCCCTTCAACTTTGACCCTTCACATCCTGCTCTGGCCTCAAGTTCACCCCAAGCACAGCTGCCCCACACTACAGACACTGTATCTGGCAGTTCAGCCATCACCTGACATGGTTTCCCTCAGAGACAGATACTTTAAGCTGACCCCAGGGGACCAAAGTTTAGTTATATTAAACACTTCCTCTCAGAGCATCTCTGGCACAGCTGTAAGATTTCCACCTGCCTTTCCCATCAGGCATCATCAGTATTATGACCCCGGGCATAAAGCAAAATGGGAAAGCCATATAGACAGTCCTATGGATGAGGAAAGGTCCCACCTGCAGTACAACTTTAAAGAGTGTTGTTCTCAGCAGCACACATGCATCTGGATAAAATGCAAGATAAACTCCACTAAGGAAACATGTTTCATCCCTCAAAGGCATGTGAGCTTTCTGCCAACAGTTGAAACTCATCCTTTGCCTCACAGGTAGGAAACCACACAACTTTTCCTCTTATCCCACTTCTCCAAACTTCCCAGACCACTGTGCCCAACACAATCAGGTAATCCAAATGCTTTTCTCTGATAAAATATTACGAAATTGTTGGAGTAGCCCCAAAATCCAGGGATGCAACACATGCAGAGTAGCTGACACACAACCACAGCCTAAAGCTGCAGCAATGACACAGATGTGATTTCTTTGCTCAAGTTCCCTAAATATGGGCAAAATGCTTCAACCAGCAGGACGAGAATGGTCACAGCAGGTTTGGTCCAGTTTGCTTCCAAGTGATTCAATATGAATCACATTTTCTCCAGGCCAAGCAGCTTGAACTGTGTACATGGCATTTTCGCTGAGTGCAGTAAAAACCCCACAGCACACACATGAATGCACCCTCTATAATCTGTACCACATTTACTAGTTTTGCTTTTCCAGCCAAATGGAGAACGTCCTCCCTTTCAATACACAAAATCTCATGCAATCTCTCCAGAAAGACTGAAACTTAACAGGTTACTGCTGCTTTAACTTACTTATAGCAAAGTGAAAAGTTACCTTGTACTTGGCAAGTAAGTTGGTTTATTACTTTACTCTAAATTTCCAGAGCTGCCTCAAGTCTTATCTCTAAAAAACAAAGTTAAGCAACCAGCTATGAAATCAAAACTTCAATGAAGACAATGATTCTTGTTAAATCAGAATTCTAATGGACACTGGAAACCAAAATTTGATACTTCCTTCAGGGAAAAGAATTCCACCTGAATTATTTCCAGCCATTTCTTTCTTTTTAACCCAAGACAATCTACAAAAGTCAGACAGCTTAATTAAAAATAGGAAATAAATACTTCTTGAATTTTATAATTAAAATAACATTTTGGAAAAAAAGTTACCTCTTCTTGTGCAGCTATGAGAAGACAAAAACTTAACTCCAGCACAGCAGCAGCAATGCTTGTAGTGGCATTGTACCAGCAGACAGCCAAGCTCACAAAATTCCCAAGAAGGAAGAGGCTGTTCTAGCAGGAGTCTGTGGCTGGGATGATGTACAGTACCCAGAAGCACTATATTCTATTTTCAGCCTATACTTAGGATTGCAAATCTCAGTCTTTTTAACACAGGGCAGACTGACTTAGCATCCTCTCTTCCTGAGCTACACCACACCTTGACACCAGCAGAGAGGAAAATATGATTTTAAAGTATCTTCCAAACAAGAAACCCACACATTTCAGTGATCTGTCAAATCACAAGTCATTGGTTCACTGGTGTTTGCCTACAGAAGAAGTTTTTCTGTTAATTTTTGTTTGCCTTTTTTCCCCCCTAAATGGAATTACTCAAATTCAAATTTCATGATGTTGATCTTGCAGTTAACCTCAAAAAAAAATATCAGGACTTGAAGGGCTTCTTATTAAATTGCTCAACACTGCTTATGCAGTGCTCTTGGTGATTTGTAGCTCAGGAAGAAATAAAACCAGTTGAAGTTTTCCACCTCCAACAACTACACTTTGCAGCTGGATGTTGACATTTGGAAAGATATTCTCTATATCAGAACTTTCAGCACTCCAAATTTTACCTACATTTGGCCTAGTCATAGTATACAGACATGGTATATAGACTACAGCTATTTATATTCTGCATTTTGATTAAGCTCTCACCTTTACTTTCCTCTCCTCACGCCCTCACCGGGGCTTGTGGGACGAGACTGTGTGTGCTCAGCTACTCTGTTTCAATAACATTTTATGACAAATGTGAGAGAAATGTACAATACCTGTGGATTTGCCCGTTTTTATGCAGGTAGTCCAACCCCTCCAGCACCTCCTTCAGGATTGTGGCTATACAGGGTTCATCCAGGACACCAGTCTTATGTTCTCCTTTGGCCACAATGTGCTTTATAATATCCAAAACAGAGCCTAGAGAAAAGAGATAAACAGTTTGAACCAGAAGAATTGATTCACAGCTAAGTGTACTTTACAATCATTTAGTATACAGTTCCAAGGAGTTCACTGATGATGGTCAGGATCAGACAGCAGCTGAAGCCTTTGCTGGAGGAAGACAGAGGCAATAATTCATGCCTGGGTGCAGTTCCTCAAGGTGAGCTGTAAAATCCCTGTGATCATAAGGACTGAAAAGTTATTTGAACAACCTAGAATGCAAAGTGTATGTACATACACAGGACCCTTGGAAGGTTTGTAAGTAGGCAACTCGGCTGCAGCTGTTTCGGTGCTGAGTATTGGAGAAGCTGAAGGGGGAAATGGAAAAAGCATGGGGCTGCCAGGACTCACAAGCTTGATAAAATTAAACTCTTTCAGGTCCTACAAACTTAGTGCAGAGGAATAGCAGGAAAAATCTAATCTTTTAAGGCCTGGCACCGTTTTAACAGGGAAAAAAAATGAAAACCATTAAACAGAGAACAAATGAGGCTGAATTCTGACATTAAGTCACTTCTTCTCTGTGTACAGAACTCAAATAGCTTAGATCCTTCCCTAGAAGCATCATGTTTAGTCTCTCTCCCAACCATGGTGTGAATGACATCATCTTCTATGACAAACTGCTTTACAGAGCAAACCACCTCCTTGAATTGCACCCAGGAATAAACGGAACTGATGACTCCTAACATGCCTCTTGTGCAAGGTCCTGTTTTAATCATACACTGGGTACTGTATTCCTTGTATTTGCATCTGGACTGAAAACAGTCTCCTCAGAACTGTATTTTACTGACGCAGAATAGGATGCCTAAGACTGTTTTCCAAAGCCTGTGCTATATACCCTCGTCAAGCTTAGGTTTCCATAGTTTAATGACTGGATAGGGACTAGCAGTATTTTTACAGCAGTGTCAGAGGTACTGGGAAGTTCTTAAGCAATGAGAAAAGCAGGCACAACTGCACAGCACAAGTTCCAGCTTTGCTTGTCTTTGAACAGGAGCTTCCAGAGAAAGAATATCCTGGTACTAGCTCAGAGGGTTTAGAAAAAACTGAGTTCAGCTTTAGAGTTAAGTTCAACAAAGTTCATTCTTCCTAACTTGCAATCAAAAACCACAAGAGAAATAAATTTTTATGTCCGAAGAACAGTAAAAGCTGAGAAACTCACTCTCACAATTTTGGCAAATGGAGGAATTAATAGTTCTACCTTGTAAATTCTTGAAGCAAGCAGAAAAAATACAGTGGAAGCTTTGGGTTGATTTTCTTCTCTTCCTTCAGGTCCATGTATACAAAAAAAATTTCCCACTTTTACATTTATTTTATTAACTATCCTGTTTGAATTTCTAGGCCAAAACAATTGTGCAGATCAGTTTTCACTTAGAAAAATATTTTCCTGTTGGATTCTCCCATGAAAGCAACAAGGCAGCAAGGTCTGAATACAAACACCATGTGGAAAGGCTCATTTTGCACAACTCAAACTGCACAGGAAACAATTACATGGGTGCAGAGAGTCCCTTAGTTTGTGTAAATCAGTATGTGCTGAGCTCATTGAACAGCCTGCTGCAGCCTTGAGAGCCACTATTCCCCACTCTACATCTTCCCTGGCTCACTGGCACCAGTCCTCATGCTGTGCACCAAGCCACGAGATCCACTAAAAAATAAACTGAGGGAGAAGTTGGTTGGTAGTGAATATAACCTGTGAACAGCAAAGTTTTTGGAGTCAATGGAGAGTAAAAGGAGGGAGAAACATTTGTGAACGGGGAGGAAACCCCTTTTGTCAGCAGCATGTGATTAGAAAACTCCCTCGCTGCCCTGAACGGCACCTCCTGCTTTCTCTTCCCCAAAAAAACTTTTGCTTGGTGCAAGATATTTGCAGAAGACACAATCTTAACACAACAAACACTAACAAAACCAGAAAAAAACCACAGGAAAATTAAAAACTACAGAGATGAAGTTGCATAACAGCCCTCTGACATTTTATGCAAGAATACTCTGAGCAGTGCTTAGCCTTCCTTTACTCCATCTGAGCAGAGGAACCTACTCATGGTCAGTGAGCTTTGACAGGGATCTTAGCTGAAGGTTTCACCCAGACGTAACTCAGGTTGTTTTTTGACATGCCTTGGACTTCCTGCATGGGAGCAAGATTATCTCTACTGAAGGAAACTGTAAACCCCAGATGTGAGAGAGCATGTTCCCCTTCACTGAAATCTCATCTTTATGTTCTGAGAAAAGGATCTTCTGCTACATGTCATGAGGCCTGGCCTGGGCCTCAGCCTGTCACGTTTTCATAGTTAAGGAGTATGTGCTCACAAACCTCAATGCTTCTTATTTTGGACAAGAATTTTTGTGCCACCAAGAAAAAAAAACCCACAAAAAAAAAAAAACCTCCACTTGCACTGTTCAGGTTTTTCCTCTCAAATGTGTCTTTATCTGGAGAACAAACTGTCACTTGTTTAAGAAGCCCAGTGAAAATATGTGGTTCTTCACGTACTTGTTTTGTCCTCTTTCCACCCACAACTCCGTTAGCAGACTTTGTTCACAAACATTGCCCCTCTCCTGCAAAAGGCTCAGGGAACATGAGGAGGCAGATCATATGGTGCTCAAATTCATTTGGTAAAAAAATCCCCTATTTAGCCAAGTTAAAGGTTGTATTTAACCCAGAGAAGGGGGTGTGGGCAGACAGACCAGAGGGCACACACAGAGCAGCCTTGGTGTGAAAGGGCTGATTCACACGCAGGCTCTATCTGCTCCCAGTCGCTCCAGCCACTTTTTAAGCACATTTTTTATAAAAAACACTTTGACGTTGAGACGTTCATAGAAGTGGGGGAATTTCCCAGTCATCTGCAGAAAGAACAGCAAAAAGGCTATCAGCAAAATATTTATTGCAGGGAAGAGCAGAAAAGCAATCCAAAAGGTATCATCATGTTGGAGAAGGTGTTACAGGACCATCTCCACTTTGTCTACACAGTATTTGCCACGGGCACCACAACACAATGAAGTTGTGACTTTTCCCACCTCACAGGAACAGCAAAAAGGCTATCAGCAAAATATTTATTGCAGGGAAGAGCAGAAAAGCAATCCAAAAGGTATCATCATGTTGGAGAAGGTGTTACAGGACCATCTCCACTTTGTCTACACAGTATTTGCCACGGGCACCACAACACAATGAAGTTGTGACTTTTCCCACCTCACAGATCAATAAATCTGGGAGTTGGTTCTGACTCCCAACTCAATTGCACCTTCATAAAGCACAACACAATGGAACACAAAAAGCTGCATTTCCATGAACTGCTTCGTGCCATGTTTGAAAACTTCTGGCATTCTGGCTCAGGAAGCCTGGCATGGAGCAGTGAAATATCTGGATCCTCAAACAGAAACCCATAGCCAAGCAAGAAGCAACTTGGAAAGCAGAAGTCATGGGAATTTTACTATTAAGGAAAACACCTTCTGCTAGAACTTTGGGACTGGATTTCAGCATCAGGCTGATAAACTCAATGTAAAGTTGTTCCAAAGGATATGTTAGGCATGTGACACACTCACCAGGTCAAGACCTCCACTGCCTTAGCATGTAGACAAATTCTCACACCAACTCCATTACACCTGAACAACAGATCAGTGGCTCAGAGCCCCATCCTTAGCTTAAGGGAAAAAAACATGACTGCTTTGCAGTGTCCTGTTCCTGATCCAGCAATATAATAACTGCTGAAATTAAATGCAAACTAACTCAGCTGAACCAGAACTAAGATCTAAGCCACACAAGAGCATGTGCTTTACAAACCAACCATACTGCTTGAAGACACCAGCATGACTGCAGAACGTGCCAGCCTTTGAGTCAGCTTCCAAACTAGCTTAAGAGTAACTGGGAAATGAGAGTATAACTGAAAACAGTTGGATCTCTGCTTAAATGCAGTTCCAATATGTATTTGTGCTCCATGTGCAAACTGTTCAACCTCACCATGTAAGACAGAAGTCTGCCATAATCTAGTGACCAGAAGATGAAGTTCACACTGGAAATAAAGCCACCCACCTCTGTATTAGAGAACAGCTACAAGAGGTTTAAACAAGGCCAAGTGCTGGTCCAGCACT